TGAAACCCATTTTATTTTGAAGACTCCACAGGGTCCATCAAAAGAAACTGCTCAAGACAGCCAATCAGAATCTGCTTCCTTTGTGCCCATATTCCCGGTTATTCCTGATAAAGTAGAGACCACTGAAGCATCCACCATATCCTCAGAAACCACGTCTGACATCCAGATAGTAAGTCTACATGTATTCTAGGCAGCTCCTTATTAGTATGGTGAGCAGTATCTGGTGATGTGGTAAAGTGGGAAACTTAAAAGTTGCTTTTATTACTGCGTATATTATTAATTAGCTTGATCTCTATGATCTCCTCAGAGCCATGCTATGGAAACCCCAATTTCAGAGAATGTTGAGGAGATTCTACGTCCTCAAGAAGTTGAAGTTCCACCTCTTTCTGTTCCTCCAGTGGTTGAGGAAGTTCTACCTTCTAATCTTTCTCCAGAGGTTGAGGTTCCACCTCGTAATTCTCCTTCAGAGGCTGAGGAGGTTCTACCTCCATCTGTTCCTCCAGTAGTTGAGGAAGTTCCAGCTCCTAATCTTTCTTCAGAGGTTGAGAAGGTTCTACCTTCATCTGTTTCTCCAGAGGCTGAGGAGGTTCTACCTCCATCTGTTCCTCCAGTAGTTGAGGAAGTTCCAGCTCCTAATCTTTCTTCAGAGGTTGAGAAGGTTCTACCTTCATCTGTTTCTCCAGAGGCTGAGGAGGTTCTACCTCCATCTGTTCCTCCAGTAGTTGAGGAAGTTCCAGCTCCTAATCTTTCTTCAGAGGTTGAGAAGGTTCTACCTTCATCTGTTTCTCCAGAGGCTGAGGAAGTTCTGTCTCCATCTGTTTCTGCAGAGGTCAGAGAGGTTCCGCCTCTTTCTGTTTCTCAAGGACTCAAAGAGTCTCTACCTCCTACTGTTCCATCAGCTGAGGAGGTTCTACCTCCATCTGTTCCTCCAGTAGTTGAGGAAGTTCCAGCTCCTAATCTTTCTTCAGAGGTTGAGAAGGTTCTACCTTCATCTGTTTCTCCAGAGGCTGAGGAAGTTCTGTCTCCGTCTGTTTCTGCAGAGGTCAGAGAGGTTCCGCCTCTTTCTGTTTCTCAAGGACTCAAAGAGTCTCTACCTCCTACTGTTTCATCTGAGATTAAGGAGGTTTCACCTCCTGGTCCTGTAGAGGTAGAAGACCCCAAGCAAAGTCCAGTTGGTGATTCAACAAACAGCTCCATCAGCGATGTCTCAAGTGGATACATCTCCACAAGTGTCTCCATAATGACTCTCTCTGAGTGTGCGGTCTCGAATGTTAATCCTCCTCTCCTCGACAGCACAGAGGCCAAAATAGACTCTACTTCCAAAAAGACTGAACCAAAAACAGAGTTTGTGCCAATAAGCAACACGTCCCGGGAGCATCAGTCAAAACTTGAACCAGCTGACCTAGAACTTGGAGAACAGACACCTACAGAATCCCAGACATCAGAAGAACATGATCAAGTGTCTCCTCTAGATGCGTCTCCTCAAAAAATCCTCAGTGTTTCTGATTCCTTACCTCAAGAAACCTCTGAAGCCAGCATCTCTTCATCTTGTTCAGCCGCATCAGTACCATCTACGCCATTAGCACCACCAGCTGCCTCAAAAGCATCTGATCCATCAGTACCGGTGAAGACAGCTAAGCCATCAGAGCCTACCCAGCAATCAAGACCTGAACAAAACGTCAAACCCACTCCTCCCACCTCCAACCCTTTCCAAATCCACAGAGTCAAGACCTCCGGCCTAAAGTCTTTCAAAGGGATCCTGCCTGAAGAAGAGGAAGAGTGTAAAACTAAACACAATTACTTTTCATCTGCACTGAGCGAGTCTCAAGAAAGACTGGAGATCCTTTCTGATTCAGAGGAAAGCCTTGAGACTCCCGACTGGCTGAAGGAGGGGGAATACGTCACTGTGGGCACCAATAAAACTGGAACAGTCCGTTACGTCGGACCAACTGACTTTGCAAAGGGCGTTTGGGTTGGAGTGGAACTTGATGTTCCAGCAGGTTGGTAATGCTCTTTAACTTCAGTAGATCAATATGTCAGTAGAGTCTGCAACACTACCGGCATGCATATCCGATTCCAGTCACTTGCAACCCCTTGACCAGTGTTTCCTGGACAATGGATTAGCAAATATTGTTTGTAAGGAGCATTTGCATGCATAACTTGAGTAGATCTAGAGAATAGTGTGTACAATACCACCTCCTTGCAGTACTTGCCAGGGCTGCGTTTTCCGAAAGCATCATTGGTGCCAATAGCTGCGTTTCCATTACAGATGTGCGCAAAACTTTTGCAATATTTTCTAAATGTCGATGTTATGCAACTAAAACATACTTTTTCCCTCTCGTGACAAGTCATGGCGACGGATGTTGGTAGGTTTACATATATCGCAGCCACCGCACTAGCCATTATTTTTAATCAAAGGAGATGTAAGCGTGTATCTTTAGAGAAGCAGCGCGGAGAGCCATTTCTGGGACATTTCTGAAATGTGCCATGGCGTGGCTGGTATAAACACAAGCATTGAGTAGAGTGGCCAAAATAAGCTCCAGTGGCCGTTTCGGAGCCGTAATGCGCCGCAGATGTGTGCAGTGTAAATAAGGGGTTATCCAAGCATTAAAGGGGTCATATGATGCTTTTTTAAAGATCATTATTTGGTGTA